ATATATATATATATATATATATATATCATTGGTATTGTTTAGTGCAGTACATTAATTCCTACCCCTGACTATCAATGTCCCTTTGTAAACACACTGCCTGCAGGATAAAAGCTAGGTTTAATGACCTGTGGATATGCATTATGAGGTACCACAGTGTGTGAGTGTGTCTGATTCACCTCACTGTGTATGTGTGCTGGATTAGGATGGCTCAGGACAGATTAGGTAATTATAGACACCTGCAGTCTAAGTGTGTTGTCAGGTGTTGAGCCATGAGGATGACTTGGTCCTGAGGGCAGAGCAGAGCGAGGTGTGAAGCTGCATGTACAGGGACTTTGCCATGTGCTTCTCCAGTATCTTTTCTTCCACTTGATGAACCACTTGACACAACAGCTATATTACAGCAGACATATTTCAACAGTACGCTCTTTGAAACAGTCATTCTTTTGTGCAGTCTGACCCACAGATCACTGCTGGTTCTGATCACAAAGCACTTTTCTGCTCTTGTTGCCCACCCCAACACATTAGGCTACATTCGAGCCCCTCATTCACAGCTTCAGACACTGCCAGGGCATTGACCATCAACGACCAACAATTCCCCTTCTTTCAGTGAAAAGACAACTACTTCACCTGCTGAACTCCAGCCAAACAACTAACCCACCATCGAAGTAGACTATAGAAAACTGACCAATAATAAAAACATCAAATTGGGGTTGAACATTGTCAAATACGTAATACCACATATGCACTTTCTCTTGAACTCCTACCAAAATTGTTGTGATGTAACTGGTGTAACATTGGGAATTGGCTTAGTATCTGTGAGAGTCTGCAACAAACCACAGTCGGGTACAGAGGCAGAGTATTCTGAGAACATTCTTTTTGCTGGACCCTACCTTTGACACCAGCACACCCTGACAGAGAGACCAGAGCCAGTGTGTTTCCAAAGAAGACATCAAGCTTAGCACAGTAGGACAACCTACTGTCATTCACAGCAGGACTTTGGTCTTCTCTTTTTTTCCAATGAAATGACTGACCATTACCCTAACAAAGATGAGGTGCCGTCAAAGAGTGAGGTCAAATTAGTTCTAAGCTGTTGCCAAGGCAACAACCATCAGGGGAAAATTAAAGCGATGCTTGACCTACACAGAATCTAAACACCAGCAGCCCCTAATCAGTGACCCTGAGGTTCTGAGAGCAACAACATGTTCCTTAGAGTCATCAATTAGCTCCACAGTGGAACACCAGCACTGTTGTATAGAAGGCTTCTTATGGAGACTAACACTCATTCTCACCATCCTTTCCCAAGCTATCAGAGCCCTGAACACACACACACACACACACATACACACATACACATAAAGTACAGTCCCTAAAACCCATTCTGTATTTCACTGGACAGACTTGCACAATGAAAATGAACAATGGACAAGTTTGAACTGCAGTTTAATCTTGAATAATGGACAATTTCTAACTGCACCTAATGGTCCACTCTTCGCACCACCTTTTATTTTGCTCATGCTCTACTCCGTCTTGCACCTGTCTCCTATACTGCTATGAATGTCTTTCCGCTTACAGTAGGTTGCTTGATTACTATGGTGAAGCAGGGAGAAAAAAATGAGGTCATGCCACTAATGAGTGTTGTGCTGCTGCTGTTGCTTTATTAAATGTATGTAATGGGAGTGGAGAACAATGTTTAAGTCAAGGACATGGCCTAAATGTAGCCAAAGACATTCCTTTGTTTGGTCTCTCAACTAAAGGCAAAACGCAGAAAAACAAACGTGGCAACAGTTTTGGAATTCTTGCAACCGAGAGACACAAAAAAAGCACTAGTTTGGGTCTAAGCTTGTACAGATTCTCTCCTATTCATATTCAGTTTTGGGAAATGTGAGACTTTTGTTTCAGAAACTTAAAACCTTGTAATGGGACATCAAGACACAAGTAAGGCTCTGCAGCCGACCCTCGACCCTCAGTGACCCTCAGGGATATACTGTAGCTGTTCATCAGTTAGCTTTAAGTTGCACAGGCTGCTCAGCACCTCTCTAAGATTAGACCCACTCCTGTCATCTCACCATCTGCTACATCATGACGCCTGTTGTTAAAGTCCTAATTATAAATCTTTTCATGCAGAGATAAGGATGGTGATATATTTAGATATTCATCTATTGATTCATTCATCTTTCCTCATTTAATCTTTTTAGGCTGCAGACATATTACTGCCTAATCCATATAAATAGTTGATCAGGCAATGCATTTCTCTTTAAAAAACCAATTATACGCCAACACTCTGAATGTAAATATAACACATAACTACAAATTAACATAATGTGTCAAAAGACCCTTTTTTATCATTTTCTTTCAATTCTGTTGTTCTGTTTGTCACAAGGCATCTCATTAAAACAACTCTTTGAGCTGCCACCGAGGTTATTTACTGAATTCAGCCGTGCTTTGAAATGCAGAGCCTGGTGTTTTAAAATTCTTCCAATACTTTTAAACAGTGTGAGGACTCTTTTGAGTGTTTTTCTTTCCATAAATAAGTAAACAAAAGTTTAAAGAAGACAGATACTAGGATCTTCACACCAGTCATAATCTCCGCAGAGTGACTCCACCCTCTCTTTCCTGCTGTCTGCCTCCTGTCAGACCTCAGTTTAGTCACTTGTCATGCTTTCCTGGATGAGCAGGCTAACGGTGTGGATTTACACAAAGACTGAAGAAGAAGTCATCTGGAGACGTTTAGGAGCTGACAAGACATTTTGAAAAGATAAAAGAACTCATTGGACTTTCTGACAGAATCGTCTGATGCAGGAGTCATGACTTGGTTGATTTTTCCACCTCTGCACCTGGATAAGTGGTAGTTCTCCTTTGGTGTGTTTTCAGCCTCAGCTCACTAACAACACTCTCACTTACCTACTCAGGTAAGCATCAAAGTAGCAAAAAGGGATGTGGTAGAAATCCTTGTGTTTTTCTGAAAAAATGACTCAAATTTTTACTATCAAAGAACATTGTACATTATCTAGATTTATCAAGATTTTTTTTTTTTTTTTTGGTAAGTTTTAGGGATTTGTAAGAAAATAAAAGTAGTATTTATATTAGAGTTCTCCAGAATAGCAATATCAACTGATAGATAGAAATGGCACCTTGACTTTTCCAAGGAAGCCCCTTTTCTGTTACGTAACTCAATCACTTGAGTGCTAGAGGTGCTAATTTTAACCCGTTAAAAAGGCTTAAGTCTCATTAATGCTGAAGCACAGAGTATCAGACTGCTGTGATTGACTTGGCTGTTTCACCTCATATGATTTCAGTCTACTTGCATGACCTCTAATGTTGCAAAATGAACTGTGCAGTTCAAGTCTTTTTTTATGTTGGAGATGAGTTAATGATGTTGTTTAATGTGGTAAATTGTAAGCTGTGTTTATATGTCACAACAAACCAAAGGCTTTCCTTTGCTGGTGACTTTGAAATATCCAATGAAACATTTCCTGTCCCTGAAACCAATACTGTCTGTAAACTTCTTTTTTTCTTTGTCGCTGCCTTTGTTGTGAATCGAGCTTTTAAGTCCTGAAGGTCAAGTGTCTTTGAAACCGCACAGGGATCCACGGTTACATAACTGTGCTCATCTGTGTTTCACAGCGGATTTAAAGGCTGCACAGGGCAGAGCTGATCTTTAAGTCAAAGAGGCTTTGTACCAGACCAAAACAAACCCGGGATTGGTGTTGTTTCCCTGGTAGTCGCAGGGTGAGCCTGTGAAGTAACATCCAAAGTGCCCACCTGTTTGCAGAAATGATATCATTTAGACCTAGTTTCCATTCTCCTTTTTTCCATGTCTTATAATTTATCATTTTGACCTTGTATTTTTGGACAAAACATGAATTATAGATAGAGGTTCCAAAGGTCCAGAGCACTTCTGGTGTTCTTTAGCAACACCACCCTGTAACCACAGGCTGCAAAGTACAGACATATGTCCAATGCATATAATTTTGCATATAATTTTATGAAGTCACATTATAGCAGGGTGCATGGCCTGCTCTTGCTTTTGTTTTGGTTTGCATTTTGTTTTCTTTATTGGGTAAAAGTTAGAAAAGTCTGGAGAAAACAAACAAAAAAAATGTTTGTTTGTCATTTTGTGATAGCACTCTGAAATCTGAGAAATTGTTTTCTTATCAACCTTGGGGAATAGGCTCCATGAATGCATCTTAGAATTTACAACGATTATTTACTTGGGTTGTTGCTTTTTATGGCACAGAGCAGTTGACCCAGACATTCTAATGATATCACAGACCTAAACAGCCGATGGGACATCATCGTCTGGAAATAACTTTTAGCTGTAATTGTTTCTTTTTTGTTAGGTCACATTAACAGAGAACAGTAGTTTACTGTTTTTTAGTGCTCCTAAAGTAAGTAATTTTAGTAATTAATCTGTCATGACAGAGACATATACAGACTACACTGACTTGGTTCTTGTCACATCATGGCAAAGATGTTGATAGATGTTTAAATAAATAATTCAAAAAAGTCAAATCAATTCCACAATCACAAATAATATCCATTCATATCAATCAGTCTGTCAACACAAATGCTAAAGTTCACTTCCATCAGAACTTTTCTGCTTATCTCTGACTCCTAGTGCCACTAAGATGCAAAAACAAGTGGAGGTCAGGATGGATGAAAACCATCTGGAGACCATTGTGGACGAGCCCGAGAGTGCATGTAGCTCTTTCTGTGATAAAATCATGAAGAACATGGTTCTGACTCTAACCATTCTAGGTAAGTTTACAGCCCCAGGGTTTTTCACCTATAGCTGGGTTGTTTCCAGAAGTGTGTTACACAAAGGGAAGAGTCAAATCTCTAGATAGGCCTGAAACACACTGATGTGTTTGCAGGTCTGTCAGTCTCTTAGAGCGCTCTCACATACTCACAATAATAAGTCTCAGTGTTTCGAGTCCTCGGGCTTTTAGGTAAAGGAACGGCAATGAACGTCGCACCAGCTAATGAAAGAACATTTAATTAACTTCCATTTTTAGGTCACCAGCAATTATTTAGGCATGATAACTGCTCTAACCATCAAATGTTTCTGCTCGGTTTCAAACTGTGCAGGCATGTATTTTCTTCTTATTATTTAAAACATAAGCTCAATTAATCTGTCCTTTAATTAAAATAATACATTTGCTTAATGACATAACATATAAAGGTCATACACAACCTTTATAAAAGCCTCTTTACATCTATAGTATGTATGATGTTCAATCAAAGTATGTCATAATGTTCAGTTAATTTAACAGAACATTATGACTTATACTTTGATTGAACATCATTTCTTATTTTTATTATGATTTAATTTGTGCTTTGAAAATTGCAATAAAAAAACCCCAAAACATTCAGTGGAGTTGCATCTGCAGGACTGCACACAGACATGCCTCACGTATCTCACATCTGATTTTCACAAAAGGGTAACTTGTTCAGCAAAATCAGTGACAGGGCAGATTAAGGAGTTGTCTAGTGACGTTTATGATCAATGATGTCAGCTACTCACCTTCTGTCAGTTGTGCTGACACAACGAAGCCAAGGATATATTTCAGTTTCTGTGGAATACAGGCGAGGGCACAGGCCTGCCATGGAACTGACTTCTATAGGCGCTGATGATGATGCATCTCCATGTAAAGGGAGAAAGGCAGTGCATTTTGAGAGCAATATACATGTTGTACTTGTATATGAGTAACTTTTGATTATCATGTAATGAAACAAAGAAACAGCTGTTTACACTATAGGATTGTGTAGACAGCGATGCATTGTTGTTATGCTTTCTTGTAATACTAATGGTCACAAAAAATGTAATTGATCTGTTTATAATTAATAAACATCAAGCCTATTGTAGATCATGATTTGAAGTCAACACGCTCCGTGTCTGTTCCTTTTTTTTCATGTCTGGCCCAGGTGTGTTTCTGGGCTCCATATCTGGAATGCTGCTGCGGCACATATCGCCTCTCCCTGCTGATGTCGTTATGATCATCGCTTTCCCAGGGGAGGTCCTAATGAGGATGCTGAAGATGCTTATTTTGCCTCTAGTTGTATCCAGTCTGGTCACAGGTGGGTAAGGTGCCAATTTTCTGCAGCGTTTACTGACAAGCATCCAATTTTGATCCTATACACGTGGAGAAGCACAAAAAGGACGTTTCATTCCTTAAATAAAATCGCTCTGAAGCCGCTGTTGTGTTCAAAGAATGATTTTGTAGCTCATTGCAGGAAAATGAGCACCTAAACTGTCTTTTAGAGGCAATACAATTTAAACACATCTATGGAAAACATAGTTGCTTTTCTGAAAAACACAAATATTATACAGTAAGATATTTTCTGTATGGGGTTTTATAAGTTTTCCTAGTATGTGTGTGGGTTTCTCCATCTTCTTTGGTTTTCTCCCACACACAAGATTATTATATTATTTGGACTTTGTGAGTAACCATGGATATAAGAGTCTTAGTTCTTGTTTGTCTTGATAGTATATGTAGCCTTGTGAAAAACTGGCAAACTGTCTTCTGTGTCTCGCAGTCTCACCAATAATTTAAAGATAAGGAGATGTGACTGTTGGCCTCTACAGTTCATTCTGTAGTTAGTTCTGTAGCTAAAATCAAATTTACTTTTTTGGTCAACAGGACTTGCCGGTTTGGACGCCAAATCCAGCGGTCGTCTAGGCACCAGAGCCATGGTCTACTACATGTCCACAACTGTCATTGCTGCTGTTCTGGGGGTCATCCTTGTGCTGCTCATCCATCCCGGTAACCCTAAGCTGAAGGCCAATCTCGGACAAGGAAAAAAGAATGACGAGGTGTCCAGCGTAGATGCCTTTTTTGACCTCATCCGGAATCTGTTCCCAGAAAATTTGGTGCAAGCCTGTTTCCAGCAGGTGTGTGTTTCACTGAGTTTGTGTTCTCTGTTGAAATTTGTTTGGGTTCTTAGCGCATCTCGTTATTTTCTTCTGACTGTTTCTCAGGTTCAGACTGTCACCTCCAAAGTACAAGTGCCAACTAACAACACAAGGGCACCCCCGCAGTTCACAGTTAAAAGATCACTTCAGTTCAAGGGTGGAATGAATGTCCTGGGTAAGGAGAAAGAGAAGAAAATATACTTTTTTTTTTTTAGCGATGTCTAACTTGACACTTCTCCATTCTGTGTCCTGCAGGTCTGATTGGATTCTTTGTCGCTTTTGGTGTAATTATGGGGAAAATGGGAGAAAAGGCCAGGCTCATGTTGGACTTTTTTAATGTGTTGAACGAGATTGTGATGAAGCTTGTTCATGCTATTATGTGGTAAGTTGCTGCTTATTACAGGAATTGGACACGTTAGTTATAACTGTGTGAGGCTAAACCTTAAGTAATCCTGATTACTGCTAAACCCTGTGTACTTCAGGTACTCCCCTCTGGGAATCGCCTGCCTCATCTGTGGAAAGATCATCTCCATTGCTGATTTGGAGGTGGTGGCGAGGCAGCTGGGCATGTACATGATCACCGTGATTGTCGGCCTCATCATTCACGGAGGCATCTTCCTTCCCTTGATATATTTTGTAATAGTAAAAAAGAATCCCTTCAAGTTCTTTATGGGACTATTCCAGGCATGGGTGACCGCACTGGGAACAGCCTCCAGGTAAGAGATGCTTCTGTTTTCATGTCAGCGTTTTTATTAAAAAATCTAGACTTTCCTTCGGTGAGCACAGTTGCATCTAATTCAATGCCCCTTTCCCCATGTGGGGCTACTTTTCTTCGTGAATACACCATGACGTCTGAGATCCACGGTCATATTTTTACAGCATCCAAAACGACTTTTTTTACAGGAAGGTCACAGTGAAGTTTTCTTGCCAGTCGCAGCCTCCCACTAAGCCTCCATGTGGGATATCATTCTTTGGCTCAATGTTTTATTAATGAAAGACACTTTTCCTCTCCTGAGCTGAGCTTGGTTCTTTCAAGCTCCTGCCTCCTCACTGCTTTGCTATAAGACACACTTAATTATTTAAAAACGACACAAATGCTGAGTCAAAACCAGTGTTAGCCAGTGTTAGATTCTTACTTACTGTGAATTTAAATTACTTTTTGTTCTTGTGGCTGGAATAAAACACATTAAAGTCAACACCTCCTGTTCACACACTCTGTATTATTAAGTATTTAAAGAATTAGCCCATTAAGGTTAATATAAATGGTGTATTATTTAAATAACCACATAAACCATTTATATTTTGTCTTCCAGAAGTTTTAAAAAATTTAAAAGCTTTTTCCTCAATGCAGTCTTTTTTTAGCAATCACAATATATATTTGGTTCCTCCTGTTTTGTTCTCCACAGTGCTGGCACCTTGCCTGTCACATTCCGTTGTTTGGAGGAGAACCTGGGCATTGACAAAAGAGTAACGCGGTTTGTCCTCCCAGTGGGGGCCACCATTAACATGGACGGCACAGCGCTCTATGAGGCCGTGGCTGCCATCTTCATCGCACAGATGAACGGAATTGAACTTGACTGGAGCCAGGTCATTACTGTCAGGTGAGAATTTAGCAGGATGCTGATGCAATGTGACATTTTTAAAACGCCTAAATATTTGATGTCCGTCATGCAGCAGATATACCTGCATAAAAAGTCTAATATATATATATATATATGTGGTCTTATATATATAAGACCACAATATTTTCATAGAAGATGCATTTTCATGTAAATATGGTATGTAAGACCACAATATTTTCATAGAAGATGGGAACAAAGAAAATTGTACATTGGTTAGAATTGCATTTTTTCTAAATTTATCCTTCAGAAACTTGTGATATTAACTGTTAAAATTTTAGAAATATTTTACTAAATACTGTTATTTGCGTCTGTGTTCCTCTATGACTGATTTTCCCCATATTATTAGACAAAAAAGTTTTAAAAAAACACATCTGGACTACAGGCGGGCCAGTCAAGTACAAACATTCAATACATTTATACCATTTGTGAAAAATACAGTCAGTGTTGTTATTCTGAGTCTTTTAATGAAACCCGTCTTCATGGAAACATATAAACATTGGACATGAAGCTTATCATCAGTGATGATTTCTGCAGGAAAGATCCTTTTTTAAACGGCTAACAGCTAACTAGCTAACAGTACAAGATGAAGCTCAAATTATGTGACAATTAACACTGAGGAGATTGATGAATTGTCCTAAGAATTGAACTTGTCCCCTGTTCAGGTGTCATTTGTCCTTCTAAGAATTGAACTTGTCCCCTGTTCAGTATGACAGCAACACTGGCCAGTGTTGGAGCAGCCAGTATACCCAGTGCTGGACTTGTGACCATGGTTCTGATCCTGACTGCAGTCGGACTGCCCACGCAAGATATCAGCCTGCTGGTGGCTGTTGACTGGCTGCTGTGAGTTTGACATCTGCACAAAACATCATCCGCTACATTGAGTTTAGCTGAGTTCACAAAACCAACGGTAGATTTCACTGCATCTCTATACATCAGAGCCACACAGTGTGATTTATTTTCACAGTGTGAAGATACGTATTGTAGAAAATCAGAAGTCTGGGGAAAGGGAAAATGAAAACATGCACAGTCTTTCAATCAGCTCTCAGACTTCTGTCTTTTGACTTTGCACTACACGTATTAAGGATTAAGGACAAGAAGAATTAATACTGAATATTGTGAGATTGATACAATGATTTTTATAAGGAGTCGACTGTTAATGAACTAAATTATTGTTTATCTAGACGTGAAAAAGTAAAGCACCGTGTGTCTAATTTTTATTGTTTCCTTCTTGAATTTCTCACTGTTTCTTCTTCACTTTTAGGGACCGTTTTCGTACCTCTGTCAACGTGGTCGGAGACTCGTACGGAGCAGGCATTGTTTACCACCTGTCCAAACATGAGCTGGACTCATTTGATGCCCAGCAGACCCGCATGGATGAGTATGAGATGGAAAAGTCACAGTCCTACTACGAAAATAACACCAACCACAATGTATACACTCATCACAACTCCATCTTGATAGACGACTGCAAGGTACATTTCACCCTAACGGACATAGAGACCTGTATGTAGAGGATTCTCCCTGTTCTTCTGTGCTTGTGTGTTTTTTTCTATCTGTGTTTTTTATGTGATTTCCTTCATATTCCTTTATATGGATTAGTGACTATGTATGTGATGTATTCAAATTCTCATCTGAAAGAGCAGTTTTTTGTGATGCCACATCAAAAAGGAAACAATTTCTTTTTGTATTCAATACATTTGAAATCCATATGAAACTCTTCCCTAAATGACAGTTCAGATTTGTCTTGTTGTAATTTTATTTCACATTCCTTTGTTGTGTTTGATTTTAATTTATTTTACTGTTAATTTCTTTATACTCAATTGGACACGTATTTGTGGCAGCCCTGACCAACTTACAATATTTCAGCCCAGCCATTTTTCAGTTTTGTTGTTTGTGCTATGCACAAAGACTGCTATTTCAAGATGACTTATTCAAAGTGGCACATTAGTTAATGCCATGCCGCTATCATATTCTTTCCATTAATAGTGTAGTTAGCTGTTAGCTAATTTTTTTATTTATAAAAAAAAAAACTTTTGTTACATTTCTGCATGTTAAAAAAATGTTTTTGAGTCGAAATGTGGTCATTTAGTGAATGACCAGTATTGTAATTTGGTTGGGCAGAGAATCCATAAAATACATGACCAACTTTCATAATAAACAGTCAGTAACTGCATTTATGTCTGTACACAATTATAAATAAAAACAATCAAAACTCACAAACTAAACTCAGGCCAGTAAATGGCTTCTCTGCCCCCCCAACTTCTGACAGTGTGTAACTGTTGGTGCCTTGGATTCCGTAGTTAGATGCTTTTGATAATTGCTTTCAGGTAACCATGGAAAAAAATGGCAAGGCTGCAGAGTTCTCTTTTGTTGAGGAGGAACCATGGAAGTGCGAGTAAAGCAGATTCTGATGCTGCTGCTTCGCCTTATCCTGGGTTCTACCGTCATTTTACTTTCTGCTGACACAGCAGAAAAAAAACACCTCCCAAAAAAACATTAAAGAGTAAATACTGCAAGACCCAACAGTGGGCAAGTCTTTTCACTCCTTCTGGATTCGACCAAATTCATTTCTTCACTATCGGACAAATAAATGTGTATAAACCTGTGTAAGCTTTCTGTTATCACTCAGAATAAAATCCGTCTGATTCGTTAGAGCCTTACCTGCTGCTGCTGCTTCTGTTTCACGCATGAGAATACAAAGTGTAAATGAGATGCACTGACGCTGGTACTATGATGCATGTGCAGGAAGGTTAAATACTGCATCACCTTTCACTGAGTCAGGAGATTACACTAAGTTACATGTGCCAGCTCAAGTCTAAAAAAGCAAAAGCTAAGGGCTTAGACCATAAGACAGGATGGGGGGTGGGGTTCTGAATGTTCTCACAAACAGGTGCCCTCCCCCATATCATTACATTATCCTGTGTACAGGCCCATGGTGTGAGGCAACATTTCTGTTTGGAGGAAAATTAAATATATAAATAAATGACTAAACACTGTGACGTGTTAATTGCAAACCCTGCCTTGAACGTGTCAGTAACAGATTGCAGTGATTAATATTTCTAGATAAATGTGTTCATAATTATCACATTCAGGGTTAATATTTTAGCTGAGGAAATTAAACAGCTCCTGTATCTGGTATGACGATGTCACTTATACGATACGCTGATTGTAATCTTCAGAAAACAGTGTGGCGCTGACAAAAAAAAAAACAACATCTCATTAAACGGAGCATTAAACTTTGGGTGTTTTCAGATAAGGTTAATAAATTAAACACTATATTGTGTATTATATAAGTCCATAAAACAAAAAAAAAAGTCAGGATTTTTTTTTCACTAAATGTATGTGACAGCTCAAATGTTTATATTTAAAGTGCCTGCTAGCACTTTGTGTACATACTGTATTTAGTTAAGCCTATGAATGACATGTATAGACCTGGATTTTTTTTTTTTTTTGTGATATCTTAGACATTGTCTATTTGCTCTGCTTTTAGGTTTGTGTCATTTAATGTATGGAAAATATATGAACCTGTGTCATTATATTGCTGATTACAGTATGTTAAAGACTGTTTCACGGACACCTTCAGTTGACCCTATGTTAAAGACTGTTTCACGGACACCTGTGGCTGTACTCTACTTTGATGAAACCAAACTGATGACGGCTCAAAATGTAATGCTAATGTCAGTGTAGTGTTGCCTCATGGGTGTTCAATGAGCCAGGTCAATTATGTCCCTTCCATAAATTTGCCAAGTTAAAAGCATCCCAGCAGCAAAACCTGTAAAAGAAATTCTTACAATACCTGAGAAGCAGCTTATAGTCGGCACAATGTGCAAATTAGATGCACAACCAGACCCTAGATGACACTAAGAGCTGCAGGTGTGACTCCTATAAAAGACAAAAAAAGAAGAAAGCACGATCATAAACGGAGAAAATCACACTTCTACTTGCAGTCAATACACTGATCAGCTGTCTTTGTTTTGGGCTTGTGGTGCTCTGAGCAGCAAATAGTATCTGGAGTAAAAAACAAAACTGAGGATTTTAGTTCTGTTTCTGGGAAACAAATTCCAGCTTTGACCTGATGATGTGTAAATACAATGCACCTTGAGGAACAAGGTCTGGAAAAATTGTGCCCAAGGCTTCAGTGTATAGATACCCTGAACATCTGCCAGAAAAATCATTAGCAGTGCACCAGTTTGCCGTGAAGCTCAGACTTAACAACAGCACGCCACAGCTGTTAACAAACTTTAAAAATTCAGGAAAATAGAGACACAGTCTGGTCAACAAAAGCCCAGATTTTTTTATGTATTTAATCTTTACTTTAACCAGGATTCATCAAGCTGAAATTAAGAATATCTTTGAAGTTAGCTCCATTTTCTATATTAATAAATAAATAAATAAGTAACTTTTTTTAAACTAAACACAATGACCCAATACTTTCTAACGAAATGTGACCTATCGTTTGTATTTTCCACTAAGAACGCGGAGCACATTAATGTGGTTGAGTGTGTACAAAATTACTGGTGCTGGCAACTAGTAGAATTTTTCTTTCTATAATCATATCTCAGCAAAAAGAAAAAAAATCAGGGGTTATTTGTACAACAATTTCCTCAAAAAAAAAAAAATCATCAGATCCAAAGCTGTTAAACGTTGCACCACTTTTTCCTATTTCTCTGTTGTAATGTGTACATAAGAGTTTAGGTCCTTAGTAAGCTCAATATAGATTGGGGGTTTTTACATGGACATGTAATATATAATTGTACAATCTTTAGACAAAAAAAAAACCCTTCCTCCCTTCCTCTTATGTTTGATTTTTCTTTGAAATATTTTGACTGACCAAATGTACCAGATTTGATGTAAGTATTTCATTACTTCATATACTGTTTCAACTTTCAATTAATTTATCGAAACTGTTTTATTACTTGTGTGAAATTATCTTTGAAAGTTAATAAATGTTTAATGATGAGCTGCCTATGTATTTAATTCACACCATACAATGGAATATTATCAAATGCATATTATAGTGGCTGAATTTAAGTTGAAAAGCTTTTCCTTTCTCCATCAGAAGGAACGTGTGTAAAGAACATACAGTAAGGGGAAGATTTTTGTTTTATTAAATTACACACAAATACACAGTCTTTAATAAAATATTAACTTATATTTAAAGCTAAGGGACAGGGACAGTGACACCTACAATCATAGACTAAAAATATTTACATTGAAAAATAAAACAAGCGAACAAAACACTGTAAAAACTTCTTAATTTTGAAATAAATGACATTTTCTGTAGACAGAGTTGGCAATGCTTCTTCAGCAGTAAGAGCTTTGGTTGTGAGCAGGAAAAGAGCAGTCTTGTTCAAAATTGGCTCAGAGCTTTTAAAGTCCACACAGTTTTTTGTTCTTCTGACACAATTAAGCTGCTATAAACACGTCTTTGTTGACCAGCGATGGCCTGCGCTGTGGGCATCAGTGTGACACACTATCTTCTGGAAGGTCCTCCAGAGGGATGACCGAATACTCTGCAGCCTTTCCATTCTCTCTGGGCTCTTCTTTGGGCAGGAATGTCGCCATCTCTAGCTCCCCCTGCTGGTTTGTTAGACCACCTTTGTTCTCTGGCAGTGATATCTGGTTAGGACCGTTCCACCTGCACAGGAGAACGGGGAATTGTTTTAGTCTCTCTTTAAAACAAATTATTGTCCAAATAGTAAAGTTTTCTTTCTGATTTTATGTCTTACTTGTCCCTGGTGGCGATGGCAACACAGAGCATCACGAGAGCTGCAACACCCACGATAAAACCAAGGATGATGATCCAACCTGGACATAAGTTGAAAGTTTAATAAGATGTTGTCTATTTTATTAGAGTCTAAAAAATATCAATTCTAGTTCATGAGTCTGGTTTCATTTGAACTCACCTGGAGTGCTGCCACCGTTTTGTGCTGATGTCGTGGTTTTGTCATGAACTCCAAGAGGATTCTTAAGAACTAATTAGACAGAAAACCACTCGTGAAATGTTCTACGTATGAATGAAAATAATGATTTAGACAGAGTCAGGACATTTGCTCCTACCTTCCTGCGTCTGTTTTTCCTCTTTCACAGTTGTTGACTTTTCTGGCAATCCTTCAGTTGATCCTTCAGTTTTTGTAATTGGTTTGATAATGGTTGTTGTAGCGCTTTCTGAGAATGGATGTTGAAATACCACAATTTGAAAATGTGCTTATGAAAACATTCAAGTAACCATAATAATGACTAGAGTAAAAAGGAAATCCTGGGACATACCTGAAGTCTCTGGTCTTTCAGTGTTATTGTACGATCGTGGATGAATGGGTGCAGGTGTAGAGGTCGATGATTTAGTCGTAGTTTCTGTAGAGCATTGTGAAGAGGCCACAGTCTTAACATTTCCATGTCAACAGAACATGAACTAATAGTAAAATTCATAGAAAACCTTCAACAAACCTGTCATCAACCCTGACCCTGATTCACTAATCTCTACAAACAGTGTTGGATGGTGTGTGGTGGGTTTGGAGGTTGTTGATTCAGCGGTAGTTTCTAAAGATGAACATAAAAAGCCACAATTGAAAAATCGTTGTGTCAACAATAAGGCCACTACAAAGTGGAATATTGTAGGCTTTAGAAAAAAAATACTTTTGACAAACCTGTCATCATCCCCGACCCTGATCCTTCACTCTCCCCAAACAGTTGTGGATGAACGGTTGCCTTGGAGATTGTTGGTGCAATCCTTATTTTTGTGGTGGAGGTAGATATTGCTCCAGATTCATAAGCAGCGTCTCCATCTCCTGAGCCTAAATCTGAGTTGAGAATGTCCAAAAGGTCTGACTTTTTTGTAGACACTGTGGTAGACGTGTTGGAGTGTGGAACACTCTGGGCTGGGGTTGTCCTTCGGTCACCTCCATGCTGAATCAACACAGAGATTGTTTCCTCCTTGCTTTTCTCTCCTGCAGCACCCTGTTTGGGGTCAGAGGAAGTCGATTGCTGGGATCTTGGTGTGGTTGTGTTGTTTTTGTGTGATTCTTTTGAGAGCTGGGGGGGGAAAAATCGATCGACGAGAAACCCATCCGTCACTGCCTCTCGGAGAACTTCGTCCTCCGCTTTCAGAGGTATCTGTGTCACGGCTATGACAAACAGAGATGGAAAAATACACAGGTCACCCAGAGTGTTTACCAACCAGCTTTGACGGGACAGAGAGGAAAGTTACCAAGCTCCACTGAAGTATTACACAGTGATCACACGGAGCTTACGTACATCTGCCCCCAAATTCTTGTATAAACTTGTGCAGCCGCTGTCTTTGGTGAAGGTGTGGCGAGAAACATTAATGATTAACCCTGAGTGACTAATCTAGTCTACATAAACAGATTAACAAATAAGAGGAACTTTCATCAAAGCATTGGTTTTGTGGAGAGAAACACCTAACCACACCTTATAAAATGGAATTAATGACGGCTGCTCTTTTGATTACACAATATAGAACTGCTTTGAGAGAAACAACAAGAGGGAAACAAATGCCAGTCCTTATCTCATGAGATATCAGATTAGGGTTTTTTTTTCTTCCTTACATGGCATTTTCTCTCTGTGTGTGTTGATTCTTCCTAGGTTTTAATCTAGTACTTACTTGAAAACATAATTGCAACATGTGGAACTTGGCCTAAAGCGGTTGGTGGCCCGGGACACAGTGCATGTGTCACAGTAACCTTACACTTCTGCAGCATGATGAATGCATCTGGTGTTTCCCTGCTGTGTATCTGCCGACATGTTTTTGGATGGCAGTGGATCCATATGTAGGTTTTTTTGTCTTTGCATATAATAATCCAGCTGGTGACATTCCCTCTTCTCAACCCTGATCGTTTCAGATGGTTACGCAATGAGGCATGTGGCATGGAAATAAGACTGAACCTACGTCACACAGCGAATTGGCAAGAAATTCATGCTAAAACTTCCTGCTGTGGAAGGCCCTGTTAATATGGAGTTAAATGCCAAAGTAATAGAAAGTAATAAAAGGATTCAGGAAGTGGCCGAGAAATCTAAGCCCACTTTGTACGAAACATTGCCCAGTATCTTCCATGGTCAGTGATGGAGGCTGGTTGGTAACATGGTTGTCTGAATGAAATATGTGATCTCCACATTGCACACATTCACTTTTCAACTCGATTTCCACATTTAGTACTTTTCAAGTTCCTAACTTCACACATTCCTCATACACTAGCTACACTCCAGGTCTTAATGAAATAACCTCTCAAATATAAAGAACCAATCATTTTCTTTTATTCTAACAAACCTCTCCGGTCTTGCATAAAATGTTATCTGAAAAAAATCAAGATTAGTTTCAGATGGGATTTTGGTCCCTTTTGTAAAGGTGCAGCAGCTGATTGACAAATTCTGCTTTTGAACAGAAATTAATTAATATAGATTATGTCAGAAAATTAAAGATCCTCATGAACTTAAGGCACAGAAGACTCAAATTGCGCTTTTCTGTTCTCCATTTCTGCTCAATCACGTTCAGCTCCAGTGAGCCTATGAAGTTACTGGTTGCCCAGACTTGTGTAACAGCTCTATGCTGATCTTTGGTTTCACCTTATTCAACTCATACGAATTAATGCACCTCCTGGAGCAGCTCAGAACATTTCACAAAGACGTCTGTGTGTGTAATCTGGAGGTGAGAGTGAAACCTGCGTGCTGACAATGAAATCCTATTCCTACGGAGAGCGTGAGGGCTGAAACATAAAGAGCATCTTGGGTGGAAGGAGGAAAAGTGCTGACTCACAGTGTAAGAAAAAGGACACCATGGGAATTAAGAAAAATTTCGAGGTCAGTATTGAGTTTATGCTGCATTTGTAAGCCTTTAGTACAAAAGATTGTGACCTTCTTTTTTAAAAAACAATTGAAGTTTTGCTTTTTTTACAGGGATTCTCTTATATGTACAAAATTTACATCTGTTTTACTTTAACAGCTTCAATTTTAATACAGTTAATAGTTATTTAAATCTATTTAGTTCATTCCCAAGGGATTAAAAAAAGTTTACATAATAAAAAACAAAAGATTTCTCAACTTACTTTTAACTGGTGTTGCCTGGACAACTGAAAGAAGTCCAAGTATTACTCCCACAAGAACATTCCTCATCTTCAGCTTCTCCTGGTCCTAAATGATTCCAAACCTCTGGGTGTGCTGAGCTGCTGACTTTAAAACAGATGAATCATGCCTGTGCCTTTTATAAACACCAGCAGGTAGGTGTTGCATCAGGACAACAATAGCTGGCAGAACACAGGAGGGCTGGCACACCTGAGAACACACCTTCTATCACAGACACTCTCACGCTTTCTCTCTTTTCTTTCTTATGGACACAGAGAATTAACAATGTTATTGGCCAGATGTCTGTCTCATGGCAACTATCATCAGTTTTGAAGACCACAAATCCTTCAATAGTAATGGATACTAAAACTAGACTGAACACAAAGACTACTGTTAACATGTTTGCCACGTTGCCTGAAAGAAGTAAGCACAGCAAAGTACAATGTTCCTGTCGTCTTATGCCTTATAGGTTTACCGTATGTGTGCTGTTTCAAACTGATGGTTCCAGGTGGAACAGAAAAAAACACAAGTAAATAAATACACTTACGTAAGTGTACACCGCCTAATAATTTCCAGTGTTTATTTAAATTTTATGTAGCAATAAAAAGTTATTTACAATATGTAGCAAATGTTACTGAGCTTAAATTAGATAAAGCAAATTTAAAGTGAATAGCAATTAAATATGATTTAGAAAAACATTAGTGGCATATTGGCCACTGAGCGAAATGTTGATATCAAGTTCTTAAAAACCCTTACTTTTTAATGATTATTTGATTTTCATGACAGTTCAGAGGCAAGTAAATATATATTTTTTAAAATTAAATCAACTTCAGATTATTATAAAATTGCAAGGAGAGATATGTAGTAATGTGTGGTATGTGATCAGTTGTATTATCTATTACTATTTTACTTTTAGCAAAGGTTTTATGTAAAGATACCTTTTTAAACAAGTCAACTGTGTGGTCTGTTAATATAATATAAAGACAGAGACAGAGAAGCTTTCAACAACATGTTAACTTTGAGCAGCTGAGGTAAGCTAATTATGTTTCTAATGCAAAACTGAATCACTGTTTTAAGGCCTGGTTTAGGACCCTTCTCACGTCAGTTTTGTAACTGGAGGTTGAATGATGTCACCTGCAATCAGGAACCAGGTACAGGAGCCATCAATCAAATGACTCAACTCTGTTGTATTATCCTCATCAATATTCTGAATGACATTGTAGTGAGAAGTCATTGTTAGATTGTGGCTGGTGTTATATAAATGAAGTAGTAATAATAAGTAGTTTATTTCAAGTATTCACACCAATTTCAACCCATGAAGAATCTGTTTACATTCAACTATCATTTGATCTAAACTTTTTCCACCTTTTGTACCATCTAATGGTTATGATCAACAGTATCATTCAGCTGCAGGCAATGATTCATAGGAAAGTCATGGTTGTGATATGTTGGCAATGGACACAAAAATTGACGTGTCACTGCACAGCACGGCAGGGCCTGAAGACACATTAGTAACGTCATGATTTACTCAGCGTGTGGGTGGCCACTTGTACAGACTTGAATGCCACTCCTGGGAGAAGTTCATTCTCATAGCTGGTAATTCTGCATTTCCTTTTTCCTCCTGATGAGTAATAGTATCATAGTTGCAAGATCGTTTATTTCTTGCACATAACAATTGACTAACAGTGGCTAGACACTGTTACTGACTCAGGAATCTAATTATTCCCAAGAGGTCCTAACAGGACTGGGTGACGTTTATGGAGACTCTGAAAAAGGAAGAACATTTACATTTTGTAAGCATGATACTGTCATCTGATAGGTTAAAAGAAGTATTTCACAATTTAAAACGTGAACAAGTCACACAGGGAAAAAGTGGTTTGTGCTCTTGCCTCACAACAAGAAGACTCCACTGGTTTGACCCCCGGTCCTCCTTCATAGAGATTACACGTTCTCTGGTTTATTCAACAAACATGGACAATTTTGATTGGTGTATGGAGTTTAAGGAGTAACTTCTTAGTAGTAATCTTGACTTTAAAGGCTTTTTTCTTCAAGTTTCATCATCCTTAATATCTAATGTTATTTTACTAAACATTAGGTGAATAAATATTTCTCATTTAAAGTTGAGCCTTTGCTCTGCATTTGGAGCTGTTACATCTTACAGTAGTATTTCACCACCTTGGAGAGTTTCACATTTTTTCTAGAAGCTGGTCTTGATATGAAGTGGTAGACACATTTTTTAAATATATTATATATATATATTTTTTAATATAATATATATTTGTTTCTCAAATACACAAAAAAACTAAAAACATGTGGAGTCTGTAAAGTTGATGACTTGATTCAAATCAGGAAAAAAAGAACTTATGTGACCAAAGACTACAGGGAGAGGAAGACAAGCCATTTCAGACCAAGCAATAATGGTGACTGAGTAGAGAAAGTAATCAGCTTTGAATTCTGGCCACCTACAGAAAGTCTCACCTAGGGTATAATGTTTCACACCTAAAAATCAGAGTCCACAAAACCTTTCTGTCTGAGTTTTTGCAACTGTGTATCAAACTACCATGGTAAGAATGTGTAACCAAGGAAATATGACTACAATAACTACATTTTTTATGAGATTTACTTGTTTTCCACAATTGCATACACTTTCGTCATACTTACCTTTTATTTTATCCGGGCAAAATAAGGCCAAGCATTGTCCTACCAGAAAATGCTTGTACTTTCTGTCTGAAGTATGCAACACATCAGGTTTTGGCCATAGTGATGGTCAGCAGACATCCTCAGTGACCAAGAGTACAGTAGATAGCCCTTTTTCTCGACTCTTCTCTCAGGCAGACACAAGACCATCTGAACAAGCACAAACAGAGAAAGAGATTCTGTCTCCAGGGTGGTAGACTGCCCGTGAGGGTCTGTGCTCTAAAGAGATGCAATGCAGAGAATGCAAAATGGGGGCAATAATGTCTGTTATTAATGACTATGACAATAATATTTATCAAAACTATTTTAAGCCAATTACAGATCTTAGGACATTGGTTATTTATAAGATATTTTTACAGGGTAGTGCTGCAGGGAATGCTGCTGAACTAACTTTATTTGTAATTATTTTAGGATATCACAAACAAAACGATCTCTCTCCTGTACAATTAAATCAGTTTACATTTTCTCTGAAGTAAAACCTGAACTAATTTGCTGGTGACACCTACACAATATATGTTATGTTACACATATCAAGTTCCATCCACGTTGTCAAAAAACCTACTTTGTCCAGTTGCTTTCGATGTAACTATTTTTTGGATTGAATGACCTGGACAACAGAGAACCTACACAGACATTTAACATTTAACAGCAATATTGCTTGCAGAATTCACATGCATACAAAAGGATGGAGAGTTCTAGAATTTTTTCTTATTAATTTATCACAGCGTGCACACTTTCACCACAGCAGATCAAGCACAACTCCATAAACTGCTTTTGTGTTTCCTCTGACTTCCTTTTGCCTGTTTGGAATTTGAACCACCCTGTTTAACCCATATTTCAGAGGGAGGGAAGAACATTGTGCAGTGCAGGTAGAAGGCATTCTGCTGTGTCAGTAAATTCAAAATCAAACATGGGCACAAACTTAAACAGAGTGAAGATGTTATTAGAAGACTTTTGGCTGTATTACTGTATTACTTCTTGTTTTGTTTTTGTTTTTTGTTTTTTAAATGTTAAAATGTTAAAAATAAAATAATTATAATAAAAATTAGTAGTTTATAAAAAGCTATAATAACAACTGTATGACATTTAACATATTGTGTTGTTCAAAAGCCTAAAATCAGTTTTATTGTATCTTCATTTTCTGTATTGTCAATTTCTGTTTGGTTTTTACAAAATGACTTCCTGAGCAATTTAACACCGTGGTAACTGAAAGCTGCACATGGACACACCCAATGTTTTTCTCATTGTGTTGCCAACAGTAAAAGAAATTGGGAGAAGCCCAACATGCTGACGTTTCCTTCCCAAATCTGGCTTGGCGAGATTTATTTACACCTTACAGAACTCGAGATGGCAAAACATCACAAGCTACCAGTTTCAAAGGTACCACTCCTTTCTATTAGTCAGGTAAATATGCCCTGTAGGTTTTAGAAGGTCTTTTATACACAGGTCTATTCTTGTTATTGGAAAATGTGTTTTTCAAATTATTAAGAAAAAAAATCCTTATAATCTCATGTCACAGTTTCACCTGAATTGAATGATTTATCATTTTGGCTGGTCATAATTTAATTGGATATTTACTGGAAAAAGCCACTTTAAAACGACACATCATTGTATGAGTACAGTATTGTTGTAAAAACAAAAATACATTTCATAACTGCTCTACCTCTACCTCATACCTTTCAAAATGTTTAGTCCTTTTAATCTTAATAGAAGCAGAGATATGATCTCTATTCATATTAACAGTAATACATTCTTTTACAATTACTTCATAAACATAAAAGCAATTGCTCAATACATTTGTATTGTATATTTCAGGTCTCACCACCACCAATGCCACCTGCATTGCAACATTTCCAGAAGTGACAAAATATGCTTTATGTACAGTATATTATTGGCAGTTATATTGATCATTGTGGTTTTGATAATTACTTTATCAATAAAACTACAGCTGAGCTGCAGCATATAAGATATGAAGGTGGTAAATTAAAAATTGTTTTTCTAATGAAAGAAAATTTTTCCTGTTCTAGTATGACTGTGCTACAGGGCTTTAACTTAACTATTATTCAGTTAGCTGATGACATCAATTATATTCTCATTAGTGGCTTAGATAAAAGTGTAATTTGAGCTATGAAAGGATGAATAAAGATATGTATTTTGAACTCTGTTTGGGCAGGACACTTAGGATTAGGATTGTTAACAACAGTGGTACTTTTGCAATCACTTTCTCCAACATGTCTAAATTTGTTTTTGAACCACTCAAGCAGTTGAGCAAAATTGTTATGGGACAAGAGAAAGATCCTCACTGCAGATTAAAGACTCTTCAAAACAAACAACCTACTGCATTTCTGATGTTTGTGATATTGTATACAGTTGGACTTGGAGACTTGTTGACAGGAAGCAAGGTTAAGTGAGTGAAAATGGAAAAAGCTCGAACAATAGTCAATAAATACATGGGGGAAAAAACCAACAGACACTGTAAATCTTGGATGGTGTTTCTACATCTGTATTTGATCATAGTTTTCCACAAGTATGCTTGTTTTTCTGATGGATGAACAGATATACGTGGAAGGCTGATTAAACTTGACTCAACAGTACAGTTGATCAGTAATCTCTCACTTTGGACTATATTTGGCAAGGCTATCCTTTTCCTGGATATGTTGCTCAAGCCTGCCCAGTATGGAAAAAGAACAAACAAACAAAAAAATTGCATTTACCTGTGTTTAAACTATTTTAAATATAACTTGTCAAATTGACAAATATTAAAGTCATTATAACTATGTGTAATTGTAGATTGAGAGTTGTGACATGTTCAAGCTGTTTATGACTCAAATTAAGATTAAAATTGCAAGTGTCTAAATATTACTGAACAATTATGTAGAAACATGCATTTGTTCCTGGTATGCAATATTTGATACCACATTTTGATCAAACAGTGAGCAGTATAAAATTAGGCATGTAACATGAAATTATTTTCATTTATTTTTTCTTTTCTCGCTGCTGTTCTGTGCTGTTAAAACAAAAAGACAGTTTGCCTTTTGGTGTATTGTCAAAATCGGTCACCACGCCGACATATTTTGTTTTACTTTGTCCCATGTACACTAGTTAAGTATTTATTGTGTTTATTTACAGTTTAATGATATTAAAATGTTTACACTATTTGTTTTAACTTAATGAACAATACGCAATGTAAATGTCCATGAAAGTTAAAGAAACATTTTTATTCACAACACCACAATAAATTCAACAGCTTCATGGCGCACAATGATGACGTAAGATTAGCTCCGAGGTTAGCGTCCTGTGCCTTCAGGTCTATTACACGTACATTTGGTAAGTTGTCATTTTATTTGTATCGTTTTCGTTATTATAAATAGCAGATACATTTGGCTGGAACCTGCTTTCATGCTTGAATGATTTATCAAACCTGTCGCTGCTAAGGCAGTTAACTGCTGCTTGTTACATTTATTTATTTTTAAAGGTACAAGTACAAACAATTTGGGAAACTGCGACGAAACCATGTGGCCAGTTGGTCCAGTATTTAAGAATTTAACGTGGTCAGAAGTAGCAATCATTTGACTTAATATTGTGTTTGTTTGCGGTTGTTTCCGAGTTATTCCGTGTGTCTCAAAAGCTTTCGCAAACCTTTAACGTGAGCAACAAATAAATAACTTTTAATACTGTAGATATATATTCAGTACTCTCATGGAAGTTATAATTATGTATCTTCGTTTTCAAGAACTAATAGTTTATGGGAGGATATTTCCCTTAAAACATACACAGAGAATTTAACTTAGTGGGGGTACAAGATTATTTTAATTCATAAGGGAACACAATGTTTACATTTAAGTCGGAGGTAAACAGGCAACTCATTAGGAGTGAAGTAAAAAGTACTTTCAATAAACATTAGTAGTCTTTCCAAACAGTGGACCTGAAAAGATCGACGCCTTTAGATAAACAGGGTTTCTCTGTGCTAACCGCTATCTAAGGCAAAGTTGGTACTGTAGAAAGAATCAAAGGTGATTGGGTTGACAGTAGGACTGGTTGTATTTACTTGAAACATATGCTACATGAGAGATGCATGTTTTATACGCATGTATGTGACTCCTATATGATTCCAAAGCCTTGCCTGTAGTGCAGAAGTGCAGAAATAAGTGCATCAGGAACTGACTATAGAAAACAATGTGTATGTATGTAAAGCAGCCCTTAATACAGTTTACCTCATCAGATGGCCTCTTAGTTTAAAATAAGTAGCCAAGGAAGTAACATTTATATCAGAGCAAATAACACATCTTTAAAACATTAAATGGAAACATGAACCATGAACTGAAGGTTGTAAAGTTCAGGTGAGGTAATTATGTTTTCTGCACATTTCCTTTAATTTAATTCACCAGCTCTTCACCACTGTTTGTAATGAAGGTATAGTATGGTTCCAGGAAGTCCTGCAACATGTGGATAGATTCTTCAATTATTTATACTTTTTTTCTATTATTATCACAATTCTTGGGAATAGACTGTGGAAGGAAAAGGAAGCATTTCCAGAGAAATGTAAACTGGGTGTTTCGTTTGTTTTGTTTTTATTTTCCTGAATTTTGTCATATCACTCTTTGATTCCAGTTGGGTACGTGTCAAAACAAGAACACAAGATAAACAGAATCGAGTTTCCTTGTTGCTTAAGACCACTAAGCCTGTCTCGTATGACAGTAATTTCTGTGTGTTCATTTTCTTGTACATTTCCCAGCTATCACTTGGCAGTGTCTGAATTGCTAAGAAATGTTTTTATTGGTTTTCTCACAGGAGATGTCATCAGTGTGTGGCACAGGCAACGGCATCCTAGATGCACCTCACCAGGCTGCCAGTGGAGAGAAGCAGGTAAGCATTAAATTACAGATAAACACCACATTTGTATATGACGTGGTACAATGGGCCCAGTGCATGAGTGGCATTAAAACACATTTCCATCTCCACTGACAGCTGAACACATTTATTCTTTCTATTCCTTTTCTCCACATCAAAATAAATGCATATATTGAACATGTTATTTATGTCCAGTGTGGTGATGACAGTCGTGTCTTGTCTTGTTTTTTACGTGAAAGAAATGACAGGTTTGCAAACCATTACCTATAAATATTTATATGTGACTCTTAAATACCTTATTTGAAACAAAAAACATGGGAACTGTGAAATGTAAATCCTGACAATAGAAAACCTGTTAGAAAGAATAAAATGTTTTTAAAAATGTTGTTATTATGTCAGAAGATTCATTTAAAAAGAAAGGTGTCTTTTTTTTTTTCTCAATCCTAAATCCAAACCTAAATCTGTAGTTGCTGTTGTCTGATTCTACTGTATTTTTATAAAGTGTGCCTTCAAAAGCGAGGAACCTGCTGACTGTGCATATTGCCTACCCTTCTTACAAATAGTTTACATAACATGTGAGGTAGGTAGAGGTATCTCACCTACCAGCAGTAATTAAATATTACCAGCAGTAATTAAATATCTGCCATCACCTGAGCAGATTAAGAGACAGAGTTCAAATGGACAGTGGAATTGGACCTAACAGAACATACCAAGATGGGAATTCCGTATAACTGGAACTTTTTAAGTAGCATTTTTTTGAACTTTTTTGAGTGTAGTGAGTGAGAATTGATCCACTCTGTATACTTGATTTTATTGTGTGTTGAGTATTTTTTTAAATTTTTTTTACAATGTAGATAACGTTTTAGGAATTGGTCATTGGTCAGGTCTTTTTCTGAGGTTCATTTGCCTCGTAACTGACAATTAGGATAGCCCAGTAATGGCACTCTGCTTAGGAAAAAAATCGTTCCTATTGCATGTGGTATACAGCTTAAAACCACCAGGCCCTAGCTCATAAACACCTGTTTGAAATTCTGTTATTGATCATGTGTTGCTCTCCTGGTGTTGTCCTAACTGCTTCTGTTTCTGTGAATGTCCCTACTGTCAGAGAATTAAAGGACTTATCTTACTGTCACCTATGTTTTTCCAGTTCTGACTTCAAAACTGTGCAAAGATAATCCAGCATCAAACCTGCAGCAGTAAAGCCTGTAAAAGCTCCCTCTCTTTGCTCTTCTTCTCTCATTTGCTGTCTCCTGGTAGCATCACAGTCTGTTCTTTCCTTTTTAACCCTGAATGAGAAATATGTTTTGTTTTACAATTTTAATGCAAGTTTATATTCTATGAAAAATAACCGTGGTCTTTTTAGTCCTGACAGTAGAACAGAAAAAGGAAAAACAAAGCACTTTTATACACATTTCTTGTGTTGTATTTTAACAGTCAGTTTTCATTTTAGGAAATGGAACACCCAAGAGTTCTCATCCCAGAATTGTGTCGACTCTTCTACAAGTTGGGATGGGTGACGGGGACAGGCGGCGGGATCAGTATTAAAAGAGGGTTCGAATTATTGATTCATTCTTTCATTTTTAGTTAAAGAGATACTTATGGGCATTTAAGATTTGTTATTCCAGTTCAGTTACAAATTTTTACTCTAATTTAGAAAAAAAGAAAATTATTTAAGAAAAAATAATATTAATACACTTTTGCAATAAGGTTGATGTTAAGTCAGCTTTATTGGTTTTGACAATGTGCATAAACTCTGGAAATGGAATTCCATGGTTTTGCAGAATTCAGACTGAAGAGTTTGACAGGTTATTACAAACATCTTTGAACTGTGTTATTTGAGAAAGAGGTGACAACCAATATCAAATTCCCAGCTTAAAATGTGAAGTGACAGATATTAATTCAAGCCAAAAAACTGCGAAACCTTAGCCAAAAGCAATAGAAGGTTAAATGACTGCTGCTGGTAATTCAAAGAAAGTAAATACAACCCTTAATAAATAAAAAAAGTTCATGATATAATAATATAATTATTATTATTTTAAATTTAGAAGAAAAAATAAGTAGAATTCTTTAAAAAAAAAACAAATTAACAGATCCCAGCTGGAATCTATTTACATTGGCTCTGGATAGTATCATCCTATAAATGTCTGACAAATTAATGACTGTCTTTCTGTTGTCTGTGTTAAAACCGGCCCAGTAATTTACCTGGAAAAAAATCTTTTCAACAAGGCTTAGTCCTGACTGCAGCTGCTGCTGTTTAAATCTGGCCAATGCCATTTTCTGCAAACCCCCCCACCCCCCCACCCATCTCTCTGTCTCTCTATTTCTCGCTGTCTCTCTCTCTCTTACTCCCACTCCCTCCCCTCGTCACTCCCTGTCTCTCTCATCATTATTTTTGTTCCGCTGTAATGAATCAGAGATAATACATAGTGAAGAAAAAAAATGCCTGCTGTGCGGATCCAGCATCATCTGCAGGATCATCTTTTACAACAAAGCCTGTAAAAGAGATTCCTTTGTCAGGAACGAAAGAGGAGAATCAGAGTTGACTGAAAAACCAATAGAACTGTCCAATATTTTACAAACAAAATAATCAAGAAGAATACCATACCTTTTCTTCCTGCATTAAAGCCTGCTATTTTTTTTCTTTTTAGAATTGATATTCTGAATGACTCAGAGCCTAAGGCAGGCCAACCAAACCCTGCTGTCAAAATCAATAGAATACTCATTTGTCTGGTATGTTTGTTGTTGAACAAAGAAGTGTACACTGGACGAACCCATAGGGAAAAGTTAAGCTGCTCAAAATATTATTATTGCACATGCATGTTTTGTTCTGCAAAACTCAATATGTTTTCAGAATAGTTCAGCTCTCTCTGAAATGCTGTGTACTTGGAAACAACTGTTTGCTAAAGGAATGATCGAAATAAAATACTCAAAAGTACTTTGGCACATTTATGGGTCGGTGTTTCACCTTTGCCCTCACTAAAATATTTTCTTTAAAGGTCAAGTCTGTGGTCAATTTCTCTAACGGTTATGAAGAGTTGATTCTCTACTTATTAAAGGATGTCACTAATAGGCTCTTTGATGTGAGGATTACTTTCTGATCAGTGAATCTTCTGACTGTTTTTACATCATTACTCATTGAAACATGCTTCTCTCCCATCGCCCAATATTTTTTGCCTTCATGGCTTCAAGTTGGTTGGAATAAGGCACAAGTACTAAGATAGGTCAAGCACAAGGAGGCCATTATGTCAATCCCTCTCATATGGAGCTCATAGGCTCAAAGTGGGAATGTGAGTCACAACAACAAATCTGTTAGCTAAGCAGTTGAATCTATGAGTTAGCAATCTACAAAAAACATTCAGTTATGGAAGCATTGTCAAGGACTGAGTGTGGTAGCTCTCTTGGGCATTTTTTGACTCTGATACAAATGGGAAACAAACCTTCAGTTATTTAAATTTAAATGTATTTCAATGTCAAATATACCTGTATTGCTTTCATTATATTTTATTATATAATACTTGTACTCTGAAGTAACCCAGTAATGAGGGCATTACATTTTCTTATGATTCATTGATTTAAGGATATATACATGTGTATTGTTTTTTTTGTTTGTTTGCATAATGTGACAATGGACTTAAAAAATAAATAATAATAAAATAATTGTGAGATTTGTTTTCTCTTTTATTAAAGATTTTCATCATTGGTATGTAAGCACATAGTTACATTTAACAGGTTGAATCTAATTTTTAAAAACAAAATCATGTTCAAAATGGACAATTCAGAACATGGTTGATTTTACTTAGTCTTTTAGTTGTTGATAATTGAGTTATCATTACAGTCCTGTGTCCAGTAATGTGATTTGTGTGCGAGTCCTTTTAAACTAATTCCATGAAAAGTCTTTTTTAAAACTCTGTTTTATGTCTCACAGGGAGCAGATCTACATTGCACCATCGGGCGTGCAGAAGGAAAGAATTCAGGTGATTTCTCTTTAACACCACATGCAGTTAAATTTGTAATAAACAATTCAGGGTTGAATTTTAATTTCCTAATTTTCTGTGTCTCAGCCTGAGGACATGTTTGTGTGCGACATGGAGGAGAAGGATATCAGCTGTCCACCTGCCTGGAAGAAGCTGAAGAAGAGTCAGTGTACACCGCTTTTTATGAACGCTTACACAATGAGAGGTGAGTCAATGACTGGCCATTGTTTGTTTGGCGATTCATTCATTTACTGTTCTAAATGAAACAGAATTGGAGTGAGGCAAAAAGAAAGAGACTTTTATTTAAGCGGGCGTTTGAGTGACTGAGTGGAAATTAGTTTTTCCTCTTTTCCTTCTCTTGATGTTCTGCCAAAAAAAAAAAAAAATCACTTATCTGGCCAAAAGTGAATGACATAATTCAGCAACTAAAGAGTGGTTTGTGACTTTATTTACTGCAACTTTCTGCAAATGATTGGAGGAAGCATCAAATCTCAAAGTAGTGATTTTACTCTACAAAGTAATTTACTTTGTAAAATTGTTTTTCACAAAACAAAGGTGATCTTTTTATAATCTTGTATTTTGTTTGGAATGTTGCTTTTACACAGATTGTTTGCTTATTTTCCATCCATATAGAATAAACAGGACAGGATTAATTTGATAAAGCTTTGTAATTCAAGGTCATCAGTCTTTGTCCTGCCTCTTAACAATTAATCATCCCACAATGTAACATTTGGCTAAAATTTGCTTTTGCTGCTGAAATACAGGGGCAGAGGCAGTTATACACACCCACTCTAAAGCTGCTGTCATGGCAACGCTGCTGTATCCTGGCAAAGAGTTCAGGATAACACACCAGGAGATGATCAAGGGGATACGTAAGGGCACCTCAGGCAGCAACTATCGGTAAGTAATAATGCAAAAAGGATTTCTAATGTTAAAAAAAGGGCAGTTTCCGTCTCCCAGTCACTTAGAGCTTGATAAAGTCTAGTGCAAAATATTACCTAGACATTCATAAATGGGAGTCTTTATTAACATTGTTAGAGAATGACACGTCAATCATTCTGGGAATGCAGGCAGTGTTGGCTGGCAAACCGATGTTTAGAATGAAAGAGTCACCGATCTGCCAAAAGGCAAGTTCACTTACACTCAAGTCTGCAATCAAATCATCAAGATTGACTGAGGCTCTTTATTAAGATGATGAAAAGCGAGGGTATGGAATGTCTTCTCAACCTATAGTGAAAAACATCCATTTTTATTTGTATGGTCCAAAATCTCCCAAAAGGTGTTTTTTTTTTTTTTTTTTTTTTTCTTTCACCTTATCTGTTTCATGTCTTTTTTTTTTACAATTTAAAAAAGATGATTCTTTTAAGATATAGTAACATTTAAAGGTTAATAGGTTTTTGACTATATAGCTACAATCAGTACATTATTTAAATTCTATCCCTTACATTGAAAAAACAATGTGTGCATTACTTTTATTTTAGAGGTGACTGCAATACAGTTCTTTCATTTTTGCTAACCTATTTACAATGAGTACAACGTTTTACTTTTGAGTTTTGGCGATGAGTCAGCAGTTTTGTTCTCCTTTTTAATTAAAATGCTGTACTGGTTTAAATACGGGCTACATACTAAGCCCAAAAATAAGTTTACATGAACTAAGTAATAAATGATGACAAAATCAACACTACAAGTTTATTTATTCATTTATTTATTAATTCTCAATCATTATTTATTGCTCAGAAATCTTCAAAAGCTTTAGTCTTTGAAGTTTAAAGTCTAAAAAATGCAATAAAATTTGATAATTTGTCAATATCATAAAATGTTTCCCTGGACTTATCGTTACTTCCCCTGTGGTACGGTTCCCAAATTTGTGGGGAATTTGATTAACAAATGTAACTGGTCGAGGCTGGAAGCTTATTTAATTTTGGAGCATAATTGTCTGATTTTTTTTTTTGATTTTTTTTTTAATATATATCTTATTTTTGAATAAACTTTTTTTTGTATTTAATTTACATACACAAAGGTACAATGACACTTTGGTTGTACCGATTGTTGAGAATACACCAGAGGAGAAGGACCTTAAAGACCGCATGGCTCGAGCAATGAGGGAATATCCAGATTCATGTGCGGTCCTGGTTCGCAGACATGGTGTTTACGTTTGGGGTGAGTCTTGGGAAAAGGCCAAGACCATGTGAGTATTGAGACTGTGCATTTGTACCAGGAGCATTTGAAAGCCATTGTTGAATTTTAACATGGATTGGTCTCTGCAGGTGCGAATGCTACGATTACTTGTTTGACATTGCTGTGCAGATGAAGAACTGTGGTTTGGACCCTTCAGCTCTTCCTGGGGAAGAAAAGGGAATAGTTTGAAAAATTCAGAAAAAACAGCTAGTCGAAATGTATTCAAAAGAGCAGGTTGTACCTTCTGGTCTTTTGTGATGTTGGTCCTCACACTTGTAGAAGTTGGATGGTTGGTCAAGGCTGAAAAATCAAACACATCTGGACATGTGCTGCAAAAGCATTGAAGGGCTGATGAGTGAGCAGCTGTCATGTGAACGTCCTCAGATTCATATGCTGCTCTGTATTGAAATCAGTAACATAGGTGGTATTTTTTTAAGATCTCTTTAAATATAATAAATTCACGTAACATAAATCCGAGTTTGTCTCTTTTATTCTAAGTTTATTTGAAACAAAAGCGTCTGTTCCCTCTGTTTCTGCTCGCCTGAAAATAAACTAAAAAATATGAAACACTTTTTTCCTTTTTGCCGTAAATGTTGTGGTCTTACAAAAGTCTGTGGTCATTATTCCAAACACTGTTCAGAGAGAACAACACTGTTTTGATTAAAGGAACCCTTGCTGTGTCTGACATCCTTTCACTCCCTCTGCATCATTCCAGCACCAGCCAGTCTATTTGGTGTAGGCACTGCACAATGCCTGTAGATTTTTGCACAGCATGCTTCCAGTCGACTGCATACTCATTCTATCATGAAAGCCAGAACTGTTGTTCTTCTAACAAGCTCCCTCTACAGCAGCAGCTGCCAGAGTTTCTACCACTGTACTGTCTGGAAAGATAGAAAAAAAATAGGCTCCAAAAATATTCTTCTGTACTGACACTGGTCCATTCTTCTATCAAGAGGAATTTTCAGAAATATTAGCATTTGTTTATCATTAAACTAATGACAGAAAGAAGTGTTTTCTTATATTCTCTGAATTTGTGTTTCTGGAACTTCACCTGCACCTAAGAAAAGAAGGATTTAATGTCAAAATCAAATTAAGTCTACATTCCATAAGTAACAGCACTCTGTGTTTATTATCAGATAGACGTTCCCACCAATGGATGCATTAGCTTTTCAATTTAAGTTAAAGGAGCCGTGATGGTGTCGAAGCTCAATTTGCCGTTGTTGCATGTTAAACTCAGTGTAGCACAGGGTCATCTGGGTGCAGACTCCAGAATGAGTGAGTGAGTCGGCTCCACGTCAAGTTTCTTTTATGACGTTATGTGTTAAAAAAAAAGACAAGAGTCACAGCACACAGGTTGTCACTTAAGAGATGGGCAGACAAGCAGACCTGACCAATCTAGAGCAAAGCCTCCCAGTACTTCATTACATTTGGAATAAAAGTCTGTGAAGTTGTATTTCATGTACAGCAGCAGTAGGAATACTCTTTAATGCATCCATTTTTGTTTTTTTATTTCTATTGGCAGCTTGGATAAGACCTTGGTTGTGTGCAAAGTGTGCAACAAAATGTTGTCTTATAGTTGCAGGACCTTAAGACCTCACGATCTCAGTAGAGTAGCCAATCATTCTCTAAAAACTGTAGCCAAATCCCAACAAGAAATTGTTTTCTTAAGTTCTGAAGAGAAATATGGCAACATTTAAATGTATTTTTTTTCAAACATTGGCTTGTTTATGGTGTATTTTTTGATTTTTGTTTATTTGTATAGATAAACTATATTTCTAAGATGATTTATTAGTTGTAGGTGTGAGACTAAAATTCACAGATGGTATAAAATATGGATTTCCCAGCTTTTCTATCATCTCCAATAGGAGAAAATGATAACCGCCCCACACCATGGAAACAAAGACTGTTTGCAGCAATAGTAGACAATAGTAACAAAAATGTTACATACTTAAGTAAACAATGGCAGTATTACTCCTGAACAGAAAGGAGTCCCCAAGGCTTTCTTGCCAAAAAGACTCTTAATTTGACCAGAAAGAGGAAAGCACAGATGGCACTGATCACAGTATCAAAGGTTGTGTTTGAGTCAAATACAGTCTAATTACTATAATTTGAAGCACCTGTGTTTACCTGATATTCCCAGCAAACACACTCTTTTCAGAAAGGCTTAAAGGCCAACTGCTGTTTTACAAGGCTTGTAGAGCTGGTTTACTGAGAAAGTGATTAATTGACCTCCGCAGTGACGCAATCGTTGTTGCTGCATGTTGATGAGAGAACATGTTTGGAAATGGAACCATGTCTGTGTCAATTCCAAGGATATCAGAAACAGCAGTTAGTTGTACAATTTGACCCTCCATGTCTGTTAGGATCTAAGGCAGACACCTGCTGTTTATGCACAGCTATAATGAAATAAAGTGCATATAGTTGGTGGATGAGTCATGCTCTAGAACAGGGGTCACCAATGTGGTGCCTAATGTACTGCTACTGTGCTTTTTGGGTCAGTTACACCTGCGATGATATTCAAAGGGGATCAATGACGATGGTAAGAAGAGACTCTACTATTGTATGTCCCGGAACTAATTATTATTGATTTATTTATGTCTGTATTAAACAAGTAGCTCTCTGTATTACTAAGTGCCCTTGAAGTAGCTCTCAGTTTCAAAAAGGTTGGTAACCCTTGCTCCAGAATCTATATTCTCACCATGTGTCATTGGCAACAGATGCAGGTTTGAAAACCTTGGTTAATTTGGTTCATAACTGAAACAAAGCCACTTTTGTCAAAGACATTTTGACGACATGACTAGATTTTTGTCGTAACCCTTCTAGCAGCTCATTAAGGTAGCAATTACTTAAAGGGCACACATAGCTGCTAGTGCTAATATGCAGAACATAATCACCTATTTAGCACTTTGTTACACATTTCTATATGAATGCAAGGACGTACCTGTATGACTGCAAGTTACTGGTGTGGATTAATGTGTCTCTGTGTACGTGCATGGCGGTGTGTGTGTGTTTAAGAGAAGGAGGGAGGGAGAGATATTAGTGTTTCTATAGTTGTGGAGATTTTCTTTGAGCGTGACAGCACTTTGTCCTTGTGGGGACATTTTGCAGGTACCCACAGAGTGAAACTGTATTTTGAGGTGGAAGATTTAGTTTAGCGTTAAAATTAGAACTCGGTTCAAATAAAAAAAAAAAATGCAGGTTGTGGATTCTGTCATTTATTTGTAATAGTTGAATTTAGGGTAAAGGTTTAAATAGTTCATTATGTCCTTGTGAAGTGCTGACAAAATGGTGTGTGTGGAGGGGCTGAGGTATATTTGTGAGGACCTGTTCTGAAGAATTACTATTGTGGAAATACTTTGTCCTTGTGAGAGCATTTTGTAGGTCCCTCCCAGAATGAGAGAGCATTTATAAGATCTAGATTTAGTTTAGAGTTAGAGATTAGAATTAAGGTCTGACAGAATACAGAGTCCATTGTGTCTTTGTGAAGTGCTCAAAAAACACTGGGTTGTAGTGCCACTACCTCTGGTCGCTTAGGCTGCATGGAATGTGAATTAAGAATTCACCAATCCTTTTCTTTTTTTTTTTTTTTTTTTGTAAAAATAGATATTTGATTTTAAAATTCATATATATATATATATATATATACAGTATATATATATATATATGTATATATATATATACATTACATACATTATATACACACAGTACACAAGCACACAACGTGCCGTTGTCTTATGAGGATTTTCTTATATTCTACTTAACTGCATCTTACATGTAGAGCCATACTCTGAAAGAGCTAGCAAAGTGTTAAAGGAATTGTATTTTTTTTTTTTAATCCAACAGTCAGATGAAGGTTGAAAAGTCTTTACAAGAAAATAAAAACACCATAAAGAGCAGTGCAGGGAGCTGTCATAAAGTGAAGATTTGGCAGAAAAGTGACACAGAATTGGATGTCATCCCATAGTTGAAAAAGACCACTAGAAGACTAATCAGAGATGCTGAGAAGAGGCCCACCACAACGTCAATAGAGCTGCAGGTTTTTTCTGCCAGGTACTTATTGCTCTATTCAAGTGTAAAAACCAACTGAATTCTTCATTTTTTCAGTGGACATTGAAATAAGATTTTAAACCAGAAACCATTTCAGATGGACACAATCTTTTAAACTTACATTGATTCCTTTAAGAATCATTTAGGAAAAATACTATATATTTTTGGCTCCAAAATGGCAAAATCCTAGTACCCACAGTGAATGAGCATAGTTTTTATGTCTAAAGCCCTTCCTGTTGGTGCTGTAAGTTTTGGAAGTTGGGGACCAGACTGAGTAAAGCACAGGAGCTTCTCTGTGGAAGGAAATACTTCAAACACTGCACCACTGAAACCCCTATGTTACAGACTCTGATAAAGATGAAAAATACATTTAATGTTCCTTGTATTGTTGCTTTGAGTAATAGATCTGGCATTTTACAGTATCCCTGGGTGTAAATGGCAATTGCTATGAATAACACTTTAGTAAATTCACTGTTGGTTTGTACACAAACTATGCAGTCCTAGAGTACTGAGCATCTGTTAAAAATAACCAGGATGAAAAAAAAAAAATCCAAGAAGGTAGGAGATAACCCCAGATGGCGTTTGTTTATCAGGGCTTCTCTTAAATGCTTTAAAACACTTGATTATCTTAATTTGGAGCAAGCCTCTCTCCCTTTTCATTTATCCCTCAAAAACACGTGCTGTACAGTTCAAATATTGATAATGCTCCTCAAATATTGCTTTTCCGTTTGAGCACTGGTAGCACTTTTATTTCAGAATTGTCCATAAAACGTGGAATGGCAAGCAAAACAGACAGTAATCTTTGCTCTTTATTGGCTTTTCCTTCATCAGCGCAGCCTTTAGCAGTCTTTTTTGGGAATCCATTATCAGTGGGAGCACAGGGCATCTCATTATCACGGTGGAAGAAAATGTTGTTTTCCGCAGCCTTTTTAAATCAACTGGGGACACATGGCTAACAGTTCAAGTGGTGGAGTGGTGTCTCTCAGCACATAAATTATATTGCAGTTGTATTAGCGGGTTTACTCCTGCTCCTCATGAGAAAAGGAAGGGCTCATTGCTACGCCATATTTCCCTGTAATATTGATTATATTGTAAATGTGTTTATGATTTTAGCTTCAGTTAAAGCCCCCTGACAGAGCAAATGGTGATATAAATTCATGTTATTGACGTCCAGAGACACAGGTACAGTACTATGAGCTCATGTGGGTCAGCTACGCAGCACATGTTCACACGCAAAATGAATTAAATCTCAATGCGGATTAATTTGACATTATTCTAATGTGCGTGAATTCCTCATGATAATGAAAGCCTTTGAATAGGACTCATTGTTGTACAAGGGGACTTAAGGACGAGTGTTCCTGTTGTTTTACATGTGGTGCTGTTGACTGAGGGACATTTCACAGTATAAAAGAAAGTGCCACACAC